ATGGGTCCTTTTCTATTGTTGATCCAGAACTGTGCTTTTAGTGAGTCAACTTATGATTACATCACGAAATATCCAGTTGATGCAAAGTAACGATTATTTTCGTTAGTAAATAGGGTGTTTGATCTAATTTCCGTCCTACTAAGCACAACCCGCGCTTTACCTATCTTTTCTGAACGGGTTTGAACAAAAAATAAAATTTGTCTGTCAAAGATGACTTCTAAATTTATTCGCCTTTCCATGTACCGTTGGATTTGATTAAGAGTCACAAATTGTTGAGATATTGTTTAAAACATGATACTACTTTTTGATTCTAAATTCGTCCTACGATTTTCAATTCCGTCCAAACGCATTGAAACGTCATTAGATTTTCTTCGTCCTACGGATAAACGTAGAAAAAGGGGATTCGCTAGGAGCTAGCAACAATGAGCGTAAATATTCATACAAAGCGTTCTAATAGGATTTATGTTGTAGCTAATGAACTAACGCATCGGAACAAACCTTTTATTGATTTGTACATGGTTTGTGGGGCATTAGACTGATGCAAAATTTGACCTTTTCGCTCCACAGTGCTTAAATGGTTTCAAATCGGGTCCTGATTAGTCTCCCAAAGTAACAACTCATTTGGTTAGAAATAGACTTCGCACAAGCCATTCGAAGTTTACATGTAAATTACTATGGGAAATCTCAACTTTTTGTTCATTGCAGTCTAGGCTTTTTCCATATTAAGCAGCAAAACAGTTCGATAGCCATTCTTATAGAAAATTTTCTCAGCTACAACTTTACTGAAGATTGTTTCTATGTAAAACGAGACAGGAAAATGTTATTAATTATTTAGATTGGTAAACTTATGACATGATCAAGCAGCTGCTCTGTAGGCAACACTTTTTTTTTGCAGTGTGACATAGTAGCCATGATTTTTGTGGCCTATTCAACGCCCCAGAAACACCAATGTTGCCTGCTGAGCAGTTGATTGAGCATGATCATAAGACATCAGCGCATTGAACCATTGATAACTTTCGATCCTTGCATTTAATAAAAAAGTGGTCTTGAGCAAAGTTGTAGCTGGGAAAATTTCCTACTAGTACAGTTGAAAGCTTTTGAAGCAGACCGATATGATATGATATGATATGACAGAACTCCTTGAGTACTGTGCCATCTCTACTTATCCAACTTGGGCCAAGATGCCGTCACTGTCAAAAGTGCTCCATTGGACAAGCACAAGTCACCGTTAGCGTCTGCTTTTCATCGACGAAGCGGATGCCTTCTTGAGGAAATGATCCTCCGAATAAATTTTCCGAGGAACTACCATCTGCTGGATTTTGCATTCAATTTCCTCTACAGAACTTTTAGTAGCCTTATAATATAGGTTTTTTTTTTGGCAAATTATTAAAATCTCCTGGAACTTTCAAGAAGTACACGGAATTTAATATCTTCTTAGAAATCACCGAACCTTCGAAAAGTTTGCGAAACTTGCGAGAAGTGCATTCAAGAAGGCCTCGTATCTTTACATAATATAAGAGATTTTATTTTTATTATTAAAAAAGAGTTGTTGGATCTTCAGAGAATTTGCGAGAGATTCGCGGAACATCCAAGAAGTTTACGGATCCTTCAAGAAGTTTACGTAAGTCCACTTAATATTTTAGAAAAATTACGAAACATTCGAAAAATTCACGGAATTTTCGAGAAGTTCATGGTACTACTTTGAAAATTTTTCGGATCTACCGAGAAGTTTTTGGATCATCAGAATAATACTTAACCCATTCAAAGTTCTCAACAAATATCCAGAGGACTTTGCTGAAATCTTCGATCAGCTGGCGATCTCTTGAACAATTTTAGATAATTCTGCTGTCTAGAGAGAATATTTTGAAGAAATCGTTAGAATTTTTTGATCGATTGAAGATCTTCAGAATAAAACTCAATCAAGCTGAAATAATCAAAAACATTGCAGATTTGGGCAAAAATCAGTTGAAGATCCTGTGAACAATCCCAGAAAACACTCAAATTCTTTTCGCACACACCGATGAACTCCCCCTTTATTTAGTTTCACACAGTTACCTTTTATTTCCCTAAAACTTTCTTTCACTTCCTTATCAGCTATCTCCTACCATAGCCTTCACTAGTTCTTCCTTCGTCTTCTGCCGTCTCCTCCGTTCCGCTACACCTTCAACTTCACTTTCTCCTTCCGTCAGCTTTCGTTCTTCGTCTCTCGGTTTCGACTGTGGGTTGCCCAGTCGATTCACCACTTACCACTTCACTCTCCTCTCCTCCTATGGGTACTCCCACGGTACCGTTTGCCGAGCCGTTCGTGAACTGTATAACGAGTCCACGACGCTCAAGCCAGATCCAAAAGGGCGACGTACACGGACTAGTGTGCTCGCGGCACCAACGCTCTTGATATGGACGTATGGGGTGGTTCTAGGATGGATACTTGGCTACGGTTGTATTTGTACGGTATCTTCGGGGTTTGACCGCAGTAGGTCACTACGGGGTCTGACCGCGCCGTAGATAAATGCTAACGGTAAACTACAGGGTCCTGGATATTTTAGTAGGTTGTTCGATCGTTGATCAATTTTCCTCAGCCCAATTTCGCCCATCATGGTTCCCTTTACACCACCTCCCGATGGCCTCCCAATCCTACTGTCAGCGGCATCTGGCTGTGAATAGCGGAACTTTGGAGAATATTCGAGTGACGTCACTTCAGTTTTAAATCAGTTGTTGATATTCAGAATTAATAAAAAAAGATCATTATGAAGTTTTGAAATATATGTCCAGAGGACTTGACTAATCATGATTAGAATAATAAAAAATATACAAGGAGCTTTTCTGAAATTTTCGATCAGCTGGAGATTTTTTTAATAGTTCCAGATCTTCTATGGATGCTCATGTGGACTGCAGCTCGCTGCTTGCGGAGAGCCTTTCGTTGTGTACTGGAGAACACCACCACTCACCACGCGGTGATTGCATAAACACCGTTTGGTTAGACCGGATGAAATTCAACTTTGAAATCTGTGTTAGGGAAATCGCTTTTCGCAGGCAATTGGTGATAATTTTAATTATCATAGCATCAATTGCACAATTTTCAATAGTGACATTTTCAAAAATGATTGCGATGCGTAGATGCGTAGAAATATTTCTGATCGATTGGTGATAAAATTATTTAAATTGGTCCAGGGGCAGCTGAGTTATTAATATTCAAAATCTTTCATAATTTTGTTACAAGTTCCATTTTCGGTTTTCACAAAGTGTACCCCCATATAGAAATCACAGACGTAGTCCTACGTCAAAATGCTACGATGCAGGCATGGAAAATCATTTGCATTCATTTCGTGCATTCATTTCGTGCATTCATTTACATTCATTTTTCCCTAACTTTTTTCATCAACAGAATTCCGCAAAATGATAGTTCGTGATGCATAAGCGATACAGACTTGAGTTATGGGCAAGTTGTAGCTAATAACAAAACCTACAAAAGATCTATTCATCATTTTGTGGAATACTGTTGATGAAAAAAGTTAGAGGCAAATGAATGTAAATGAATGCATGAAATGAATGTAAATGATTTTCCATGCCTGCTACGATGTCCACGCTGCAGCGAACAAGTTCGAAGTCAACCCGTCCAACGTGCAACGCTGAATGATTATGCGACCTCGGCTTGTGTGGTTAGGAACCAACTTTCTGATGGCTGTGTTAGGGGTGAACACCTTGCGGTCGAAGAAAATGTTTGCAAAATTTGAATGTTTTCATATTTTTTTTTAAATATTTTAATATTTAAAATTTATAATGTGTGACATAGGTGAAATGTAGGTAATGTCGGCCAGCATGTCCCTAATTTGGGCCCATCGCTAAAAGTCTGCTATTTATCAATTTTATCTAGATGAACGCGTCATTAGGACAGTACTAATGGATATTTTTGGTCGCTATTGAAAATTTAGTCGATTGCTGAATTTATGTATGGGCCCAAATTAGGGACATGTAGGCCGACATTACCTACATTTCCCCTACCACACAAATCTTATAAAACTGCCGAATCGATCGACGTACAAATCATCAAAACCCATTGGTTATTGGTCAAGTTATTAGCATTTAAAGTCTGACCAATTTTCGTTGCATTTTCTTGGATTGGCACCCTTCCCGAAAGACACGTAGTCCTACGTGAAAATATATCTTATAAACTGGCAGTCCTGTTCGTTCAAGACCGATTTAGACCAGCCGCAAAACCAGTTTACTGATTTTTTGACAACTCCATACCAGCATGCAAAAATGAGTGCGAATTACCCAGTCACTGAGTAGCCTCAAAATAGCGTGTACCCAATTGATGACATGAATCCGATTGACGCTGTTCATTTGTCAACTTGTAACTCTCAACATAGTTGACCATTTTTGGTTAGGTTCAGTTTGAACCGATCTGGGTGGATTCTACTCAAATTAGGGTAGTATTGAAATAGCGTGTGCATCACAAAATGACAGAACACGGCACAGACATGCAGAACAGACTTGTAGTAGCACTTTTATGCAAGGTGACTTGAAACAAATAGCAACAAGGTGGTTTGGTTGTTCTCCGTTGCAGAATTCTATATTGATAAATCTACTTTTCATACTCATTCCAGCACAGCAGGCTGCTTCCAAGCACACCATGTAGATACGTTTGAACCTGTATAAAATAGCTATCCGCTTTGTAGAATGTTTTGCAGCTCAGGCATTTTCTAACACACCTCTACTAATCAAGTTACTAAACTTGTTGTTTTTTTTCTTTTCCTATGTTTACTCTAATGTTGCATGCCCTTCTACGTTCGTATTCAAACCTCAAAAGTTACGAATCTTTATTCTGGACATAGTTTTACCCTTCGGCGCGCACGCAATACAACATCTCGATCAATACCTTTACGAATTTATAATTTTTTCTTGCGTTTGACATATGTTTTCTTCCATTCCCGTGTACTCTTCTACTTCCTGTCACACAAACACGATAAACCCAATAAACAAAAATAAAAACAAAGCAGTTTCAACCTGGAGACCGATCCGGTGAACCACCTGCCCTACCAACCGCTGGCCGACCTGGAGCTGGAAAACATTGATATGTTTGCGTCGTCGTACAACTAGGATGGAGTTGTATATGTTGGTGTGACACACGAATAAGCACACACCTACACATACGTTCACACCCACACACAAACTTAGGTGCAAAGAAAATGAGTAACGAAAATCAAAAGCTCCCCCCCCCCATTTATTTTCTAATCTTTAGGTCAAAGTTTTAAGTTTTTCCCCACAATGTAAGCGTGTGTGTGTGTGTGTGTGTGTTGGAGTTTTGTTCTAAAACCATCTCTATGTGCATAGATTTTATCCGTCTATTTTGATTTAGCAGGAATGCCCTATCGATCGCCCCCCTCTCCCCTAGTTTTACTTTCAGAATGAATGAACCATAACAATCGAAAATCGCATGTAGATGTGTTATGCCGGTAGCATATCGTATTCTAGTGTTTATTTACACTTATAAGTTTGAATGAATAAGCATTTATGTTTTTTTTTTAGAAAAGCGATAATCAAAATTTACGTTTTGTTAAGTTCTAAGTACACACGGTTTGGTTTAGTCAGGTCAGGACACAGCAAGAGAGCGAAGCAGGAAGATGAGAAAGAAGAAGAAGATAAAGTCGATATGTGGTAAACATAACCCTAGTACCTTGATTGATGTGAATAAAGCGGAAGAGCGTTGATCGTGAGTAAGATTTTACAATTTCCATATTTTTGTCATTTTGTAAAACCACCTATCACTACTTACTATTAAAGATTAAACAAACAAACAAACAGAGGAAAAAAAATAAAATGAGTGTTGTGATTGTTCTTCTTCTTGTGATAGAGCAGTGTGTAAGCTAAGGATACAAAGTGGAAAGTGTCGTTCAATGGAGGGTAAAAAAAGAGAGGAATTTACAACCTAAGGAAGCAAATTTATTCCGTAAGATGATTTAGCACTCTTAGCTCGTAGGATTAAGACGTTAACGGCGGAATGATTACACAAAAACACACTGAAGTAGAAAATGATCCATAAATGGAAGTCGCAAATGTGACAGACAGGAAATTTCAAACGGTTTCGAAAATTGATTCTTATAGACGACGAAGATGAGCTTTAGAGAAAGAGAGGATAGAGAGCGAGAGAGTGGGAGATCAAGTTTAATAGATAGAATGCAGTTTGTTCCAGCAACCAAAATTCAATGGTAAAGAATAAAAATCATACAACGAATTAAAACAAAGTTATTGTAGGGTAAAATGTGCAGTTAAATTGTGGTAAAGAGAAGGAAAAATTCAAACAAATGTCAATATTTAGCGCAAAGTAAGATGGACAGTTCATTTTGCAACTGGGAAATGTGTGTAATATGTTTCAGCTACTGAAAATGGTGCAATCCGTAGTTTTTTTTTCTTTCTTAAAAAAAGTATGTTCGAAATTTTATTTTTTACTAGAAAAAATTCTATAAGATTTTTGTCTGTTTGAAATATCTGTGACATGGATTTTTTTTTTGTAAACAAATGTCGGCTCACATCTCAACGTGGAGGGCGGTGCTTACGAGTAACTGAAGCAAAGAAGCATTTGTTTTTCAGATGAATTTTTATTCTATGTTTTTTTAAGATAATGATAGCGAACTGCATTGGAAAATGTCCTACCTTATATTCCGTATGTGTCTTACTGTAGCAAAAATGTTTCTCGTTGAGATTTAAGCTATTATCTTTGCAAATATTCTTAATAAACAAAAAACAACTGTTTGTATTGTTGTAAACAAACATTCATACACACACACACAACCAAGGACACAGCTACAAATGCCGTTCTCTGCAAGTACATTTCGAACAACAGCGAGTGAGATAAATGTTCTATTTGTAAACCAACCCATTTTACACGAACACGAATTTCAACTATTCCAAGAATAGTGCCATAAGAGAGGGGAGAAGCAACACTAGGATCATATATGTAGCGTTTAGAGTAAAATGATGTTTTTTTTCCCAGAAAAAAAAAATCTTTTTTTCTTTTTATACTAATTATCCATATTGTTCGAATCAATGTGCTTTATGAATTTACACTACTGACGGTCGAAACGATAAAAGGCAAAGAAGGTTCTAATTTTTATATTCTTACTCGATTCGGAGAAGTAGTTAGGCCAATCCAGAAAGGAAAGAAAGCGTAAACAGGTTCGCGGGAAGGATTTTTTAAAACAAAAAGATTATTTTGATCAGATTATAACTTTGTAGAAACGGTAGCAGATGGAAGATATTTTCCCGCCCCAGAATTGTAAGGTTGATAATATTTACTCAACGGTTCTTCACCCCCTTACACACGCAGACATACCCACACTGTTGTACTGCAAACGAAAAATAATCGGTTTCAGAGAAAATAACCAAGATAAAGGAAAGCTTAGAAAACAAAAGTTAAATAAAATATACAATGAATTCCGTAGTTCAGAGCATTTGATCTTCACGATTACACACAGTTGAAAACGTTGGTACTTAGGCCACAGAAAACGTTTGACTTAAACTATATATATATACATACATATATACACATACATTTACGATAGAACAGAAAAGGTGTCAATTGGAGAAAAAAATAAATAAATGAAAGCATCTTGATTCTAGTTGGAATGAAGAGTAAGTACGCAAGTATACGGTTTTGCGCCCCGCGGCGCCCTTAACGACCCTATGAAGAAATATGTATACCTGATCAAGAGACGATAAACACAAATTTTATCATTACTCTACAGTTTACAGTTTATGGATTAGCCTATCAGAAAACCGAAGGGCACACAAATACCTACATACACGCATTGTAGAAATCAGCTTACATAGAATCAAGAGAAGAAGAAGAAAACACAGAAAACCCATATTTACAGTAACTTGCTGTGAGCAAGCAAGGCTAATTTTACTCTGATATTGAGAGGGATTGGAAACTTAATACTTACTGCAGAGGAGAACAAGAGAAAAAAAAACAAACACAGAAGTGAAACAATTGTAATGAAAATACGTCCAAAGACTTCCTTAGCAGGAAGAGAAAGAAAGTAAACTTACACTCACATGCATACCCTATGCTTGGATAGGCGCAACAATATTACAACAGATTCACCTACACACCTCCACCAAAACACAACAAACTCAAAGCTAGAACACGAGTATGCCTTTCGAGTTGATTGAAACCTAAGGAAGATAGACACAATGATTCCCAACTTGTAATACATACATACGTACACACAAACAAACACACACACTTTCAACGACTTGAAATAATCTTGAAGGAAGATCTTTTAATGAATTAGAAGCAAAACCAAACAAAACAAAACACACACAAAAAGATGGATACATTCATTCATACTGATGATGCATATGCACATGATGTGAGTATATCTTGATAGAGAGCAGAAAGGAATCAATACGGCATGCAAAATGAAAAAAAAAAAAACAAATGTAAGATTAAATGTATTGTGCTTATTATATAATGAAGAAAATCTTAAAACAACCTCTTCATGCTGTGGTGTTTGGTTTCGATTGGTCATTGATGACAGATTCCCATGTGGTTTCTTTGAAAGTCGGTTCATCTATCACCGAAGGTGTTACTTATGATGGATTGACCTAGGAATTGACCTCGAATTTGCATAAAGCGTTTTTTAATTATTCAATAACATTTCTGAATTTCCCTGAACTTTAACAACAAAGAGATTCTTTGAAAGTTGGTGAAGTTTCCGGAAGTATAACTAACATTGAACTCATTTTACGGAACTCAGTAAACATTTTTTTTAAATGGTCCGTTTAAACCGCATTTGAGACTTTAACGAGCTTCAAGACATTTCAAGCTAAACATTGCAACAGGTCCTAAGTAACGTTGACAGATTCTCTTCGTCGACTTTCTCTTTGTATCTCTTTTTTTTCTTTGATTTGTTTTCCGTCGATCTTGTTTTCCGTGCTGGGCACCAATGCTACCGACGCCAGGGAGGCAGCTCCCACACCTGGACCCTACCTATCGACCCATCAACTCATGAACCGGGGACGAACGGCTTTACTTCCCTTTCACAGGAAGGCGTGATAGAGATGTTATGCCTCAGAACATCCCGGCTTCGCCGACTGGGATTGAACCCAGGCCTGCTGGGGTGAGAGTTAATCACGCTAACCACTACACCACCGGCGCCGCTATCTCTTTGTATCTCCATGGTCATGTAAAGACATTTGCATGTATTTTCAGCACTCAGATCGATAAAAAGAAGCTAGAATATTACAAACACAACAAGGAACGGTTGTGTGTTACTTAGGACCTAATGCAATGTTCAGCTTCATTTATTAAACAAATTAAGAAATCTTACTATACTGTACCAAAACATTATCCTCTGTTCGAATGAAACCTCAGACCTTTAAAATCGAAACATCAGATCAATCAGATTATGCTCCTCAGATGATTATTGATACGAGAGGCGAGCGGACCTCAGTTCTAGATAAACAATTCAAAATGTCCTATCTGCATTGATCGATTCTCTTCATTGACATTCTCTTTCGTTAATAACTCAGTTGCAAAAACTTTCCCTGTTGTATTTACCGTTGAGGACGCTAGATGAGAACCTTTTTTATCAAACTATGTGGTAAAAATAGCGCAAAATCTATTTGCATAGCAGTGCACAGTGGTCCAGAATGCAGATTTAGGTGGAATGATATGTTTTGAGTCTGAATCTGAAACTTCAGACTAAAAGTCTCTTCTACAAAGTTGTTCCTTATAGTTAGGTCCTCATTTTTATGACAATGAATTCTAGGGTGGTTCCTATTATCATTAAAATCAAAAATCTAACTTTTTTGTTTGAATAAATTAAGGTATACATTCTTCGGCAAAGTTATAGCTGAGCTAATTTCAAGCAACTTTGTTCAAAATAACTTTTTTGTATCTCTTAAATTGGCCGATTTAGAGCTATTTTCTTGAATTGAGTTAGGGTGTCTCTTAAAAAAAACAGTTATTTTGCTCTAGTTTTCTTATTTCGATTTTCTCAGCAAAGGTGTCTTCAAATAACTTTTAGATCTTAAGAAGGCGCAAATTTTTGCTTCACAAAGCTTGTCAATATCTTTCGCCGATCAAGAGTTATTGACGTTTTTATACTAAAAATATGCACTTTTTAAATGTTAATATCTCTGGTTGGGGCAAACAAAAAAAAAAAGAGTTTTTACGGCATTTGAAAGGACATATGTTATTCTCAATAATATGAAAAAAAAAAAAATGGAGGTATGTTATTTTTTAAACTCGTATAAAATCAATTTGAATTTATAAATATTTTTTACTATATTTGAGTATATCTTTTTTATTAGAAGAGATACAGGCAACAAATTCCGCTATAAAACATTCGTCTATAGAAGATGACTTTCATGATAAATTTCAAATAAAAAAGTTATTGGCAAAAGATGGATTTCATAGGACCACTCTAATGACAAATTTATATAAAATGTGCTAGTACATTTGTTTCAATATTTGGACATTTAGTGTCTTCGAAGAAGTTTTTGTTCTTAAAAATTCCCTTCTTTTGGTGTTTGCAAACGTCAGGGTGGTCCTCAAATTAGGAAATTTTTAAAACTAACTTTTTTGTTTTACAAAATAAAAACATGTGTTTTTTTTAAAAAAGTTGTAGCTAAGTTAATTGCAAGCAACTTTGTCGAAGAAAATTTTCAAAACTTTGTTAACTGGTTAATGTAACCAATACTAATACCTTTCTTTCTGTTCTTTTATTCGTTTTCTATATCCCTTCACCATCACCCCATATCCCATCATTTTGACGACAGATGAGTTACTTGCATGGTGCATGCCCAAGTCGTACTACAGGATAATATGCTGAGCGTGGTTCTATCACAAATCGATAGAACTGAGGAATAATGAGGTAAATTCTACACAGTATTTTAAAGGAGCCAACTCTAAGCAGGTAATAATAGCAATTAATAATCAAACAACCATAAAAAGGTAAGAATTAATTTATTTATTTTAAATACAGTAATGACCCGATTTTGTCAGCCCCGCCCCTCCGGTTTTTTTCTTTCAATAATTTCACATAATCATTAATCTAAATTTTTCTCATTCGTCATTCGTTAAGAGGGATATTTAAAGTATACTTTGGTGCAATAGGTTCAAGAAGATTACTGAAAAAGGGCATGGGTTTTGTAGAACATTGGAAAACATTTTCAAAAAAGGGGGTTGACAAAATCGGGACATTACTGTATTCCATTTACATTTACATGATTTCTCGCGTAACATTTGAAAAGGGCCTATGATCAAAATGTAAACAAACCGATTTTTGATACCATTCTGTAGCACTGGTAATTAGCTACCAGTCGTATAGGAATGTTCCGCATTATCGATAAAAATCATTAAAAATAACTTGATTTTAAAAACGGCCGATCCACGAAATTTTTCCAATCATTCATGCTAAAACGGCCTAACCTCGGGCCTAACATATATTTTTTTTCGTTCGATGAGGTTCCATTCATAAGCCTAGCGACGTAGAAGGGCCGATGATTGAAAAATTTCAAATCAAAGCTAGGCCCTACTGCTTGAGGCAGGGCCGATGATTTATTTGACGTTAAGAAAAGGCTTAGCAAAGGGCCTATAATTTATGATGACAAGCACAACGGCTTAACAAAAAGGGCCTAACCATTTAAGGATTCACAAAAAGGCTTATTACTGTGATATTAATTTTTTATCGATTTTCATGTATTTTTGAAAACGTTTCGCATGTTTTGGATGTTGTGTACTGAGATATAGTTACTATTGTTATTGTGAACAATATAAATGCCTAAAATACTTCAATTTATTTATATAGGAATTAAATACTGGCGGAAAAATTTACAATTCATTTTCTGGATTGTTTACATTTTGGACATAGGCCCTTTTCAAATGTTACGCGAGATTTATCACATATTTCCGGAGAGCTTCGAGGTTGGAGCGTAGTTGCTTTTGTAGATGGGCACGTCATTTGTCGGTTTCTCGCGGATTGGGGCTCAGTCTGGAAAAACTAATAACACAAACAGGTAGAAGAATAGTTCCTCTATGATTTGTTATAGTTTGTTTGCAGGATTGTTCTTTTGTTCGCGGGAGGCCGACGATTGGCGTGTTTGTTTGCAGGGGCGATTGCGCCCGGATCTCGGGGTTCTCCGGATTTATGGTCGTAATCTAATACACACAGTTGATCACAATACGAGCCTAAAAGCTGCAGTGACCTAGTGAGCACCATAGCTCGAGTCGTCTGAAAGTATTGTGTATCGCATGGAGAACCCAACCGAGATTCTAGCCTATTAAGACTGCAGTTGGTCAACTCTCGAAAAAAAAAAGCTTAGTTAGGTGTTTGTATCCGCTGATTTCTCGCAGATCCCGCCTCTCTAGGGTTAACAAACTGGCTGTCTACAATCAAATCATAGCACCTGCAATTTTCTACGCTGCACCGGTGTGGGAATCAAGTGCTCAAACTCACAGGAACAAAGTCCAGGTGGCACAAAACAGAGTGCTTAGGATGATACTCGATCGCCCTTTCGACACTAGAATAACAAATTTACACGAAGAGGCAGGCATTGCCAAAATAGATTACAGAATAAACGAAATTAAGACTAAATTTGCACAAAAATGTAATGCATCAGAACATGCTTTGATAAGCAATTTGTATATACATAGTAGGTTAGGTGCATATAGTAGTTGTAGGTTAGTTGTAGTTGTAAATAGTAGTTATAAGTAGTTTCCCTTTTCCAATTTAAAACAAACCAATCCCACCAAGGTGGTCATTCTGAAAAACAGGCCTGATAGGACTAGGAACTTTAAATAATAATTAAAAATTTCAAATGAACTAAAGTTGAAAAGACGCATCTGTGTCACTTGTTAATTCATACATGTTAAACCACACAAATACTAGAAATAAAGATCATTTAAAGTCAAAAAAAAATATGTCTATTTCGTGGTGGAGGGAGTTCCCTCGACGGCTGTTCGCAACGGGACGTCAAAGTCGTCATCGGCGACATGAACGCTCAGGTAGGACGGGAGGCAATGTACAGACCGGCAATCGGGCCAAACAGCCTGCATACCGTATCGAACGACAACGGCCAACGATGCGTGAACTTTGCAGCCTCTCGGGGTATGGTAGTTCGAAGTACCTTTTTCCCCCGCAAGGATATCCACAAAGCCATCTGACCAACACACAGAAAACCAAATCGATCACGTTCTAACCGACGGAAAATTCTTCTCCGACATTATCAATGTCCGCACGTACCGCAGTGCGAACATGGATTCGGACCACTACCTAGTGGCAGTATGCATGCACTCAAAACTCTCGACGGTGCATAACACCCGTCGAAGTCGAACACCGCGACCCAACGCGCAGCAGCTGGAAGTTGCACTACCCACGGAAGAGCAGCTTGGCGCAGCTCCTCTTGAAGATGGCTGGAGGGACATCCGTTCCGCCATAGGTACTACTGCTGCAGTGGCACTAGGTACTGCGATCCCGGACCGAAGAAATTACTGGTTTGACGGCGAATGCAAACTGTTAGTAGAGGAGAAGAATGCAGCACGGGCGAGAATGCTGATACACCGCAAGAGATTGAATGTAGAGCGATACAGACAAGCGCGGAACAGACAAAGCTCGGTTTTCCGAAGGAAGAAGCGTCAGCAGGAAGACCGAGATCGCGAGACGATGGAAAATCTGTACCGCGTAAACGACACACGGAAGTTATACGAGAAGCTAAATAGGTCGCGCAAAGGCTGCGTGCCGCAAGCCGATATGTGCAAGGACTTGGACGGTAACCTTCACACGAACGAGTGTGAGGTGATTAAGAGGTGGAAGCAGTGCTATTGTTACAACCTAGCAGACCAGTAGGCAATTTTATTTTGAAGCAAAATTCACCGGGCTGAAGTGGTAATCAAAGCCTAAAATCGTGGAACTCACACACAGTTTACCTAAACTATGGGTAGCTCTACTATTTGCATGACCATTATGCCAAATAATAATTTTATTATATTACTAAAATGAAAGTCTGATAGCTTCATTTTTGAAGTCTCTGGATCTTGCAACGATTCTAAATTCCAGAATTAATATTTTTCCTGCGTCCCAGATCATGCATTTTTTTGTTAGTCTGAATTTACTTGGAACTCTTCACAGGATATATTCGCCTTTTTTAGTTCAATTTGAATCATCCTAGAATTCCATCATATTTCTTTTCTATATTCCCCTTAAATAATCTTGAAAATATCTAAACGTTTCCAGTAACATTCTAAGAGTTCTTAGCATTACCTCTTGTAATCTCTTATAACCCCAGTAACATTTATGGGTTTATATGGGTTCTGTAGACCATGATTTAGACTTTTAGAATGATTTAAAACCTCTATAAAACTTGCAATGTTGCATGGAACATCACTCTCCAATTCCACAACTAACTCAAATTCGTAATAATTCCCAAGAATTGGGTCAATTTAGTGTTCATTTTTCTCTATTAAATTCTTAAAATATTCCTAACAATTACCTTGGTACACTCTTCAGAATGACGGTCACACTCTTCTCAGACTTATCCGATAATTCCCTTTAAACTGCTTTGTAGGTAAGGTCAGAATTGTTTTGAAATCCTTTTTAGTATTACCTAAGTACTCAAGTACCTTTTATTAAAATTAATCTCCAAAGAAACATTGGACAGAATTTCATTGAAATTATTCTCACGATTTGTATCAGCATACTCCTTAAATTTCATCATAAGAATTTTCTATGATTTCTCTTCCGGATTGTAATTCCTTTATTGACAAAATCTCATCAGAGTTGACAAGACAATTGACACCGTCTTCAACCAGAGGTTGCACAGACTAAATATTTAACACTAGACAACGGACAACACATCACACCTTCTAGACCAGTAGGGAAATTTTCAGGTTGCCAAAATTTGCACCGGCTAGAGCGGGAATCGAACCCTCACTTCGTGGCTCACAATACGCCTGAACAACGAATGACACCGCACGACTACGAAGCCCACAAAGATGGATGTAATTCTACTCAGAATTAGTTTTAAATTCTCCTTTGATTTCACAAGGAATTCGCCTCACATTTAACTGTGAACTATTTTCAGAATTACCTTAATGAATTCCAATAATGTCCAACGTTGATGGCCTTGAATAATTAAAGTAGCAAGTTTAGATTTTTTGTATTAGAGGGTAAATCAATGGCAGTGATATTTTTAAAAGCAGTATGTTAAAAAATCTGGGAAAATCTGGAACATATTTAAAAAATCTGGAAACATGCATGGTCTGTCTGTGTATCTGGCAAGACGACTAAAAATCTGGAAAATCCAGATAAATCTGGAAAATCCAGATAAATCTGGAATACTGGCAACGCTGGCTATTGATGAATTTACGTTACGGTCGACCAGCAGATGGAAATGATGTGAAAATGATAATGACGTTTGCTACCTGTCAAATCGTATGGAATATAATTTTTTGTATATACATCATCAGTTTTGTAATTGCAAATCTGAAAACTAGATGTCGCATGGCCAGCTTTACCTTTGCGTAAATTCATCAATGACGAGCACCTCAACGGTGATGCAGCGGAAAACGAAGGTGGCAAGTTATAGCATTTTGTATATACAAATTTCAACCAAATCACCTATATGAACAATAAACCAAAAGCGCCAGCCAGTGTAACGTCAAAAAGTCAAATACTCACCCGGAAAGACATTTCGGCGATGTAATTGCAAATGCGCTTTTGTATAGCACGTGTACATGAAATTCAAGCTGCCCCTTCAAAGTCGATGGAAGATTTTTATGGCGATTAAGCCAAACAGCAAGATAAGCTCAACATAGACGATCGCCACCATCGATAACACGTAGCAACTGCTTTAACGTAGTTGACGACGCAGCATATAACAAGAACGACGAAGAACCACCATCGTGGACCTCGGACCTGGATGACTCAGCAGAGCAGCAGTGACTTTAATTGGAATTTCTGTGTAGCAACTTAAAGTGTGGTTCGATAGGTTCGAATTAAGCTAAAATCACAGACAAACTGTTGCGTACACTATGGTGGGCACTACACTGAACAGATGGCGGTAGTGTGTAAACGTCAAACGCAAGAGAATTGACTATGCGCGCCACAGGTGGCGGTACTACCAACTACGATACGTTTAAATTGTCCGTTAAATGCTTGTTCGATGAACAACTTGCGAGTGTTATGTCTGGTTGTCTGTGCCTTTAGCTTTCAAAACAAAAGTCCGCTAACTGTCAATTCAAAAGTTGCGCGCATGCTACTTTTAAAAGTTGAAACTTTCAAAACGAATTGGGTTCTTTAATTTTGAAAAATGTATCGATTTTTATACATCATCTGAAAGAGCTTCGTTTTCTGAGCACAACGATATTTTTTTCGAACCCACAAACTTTCATCTTGATTTTGAAATCATCAGCAAATCAGCGAGTACTGTACTGCGATATCACAAAAGTTGCGTGGAATCCGGAACCCATATGGATTTTTTTCCGCCGATTATTGATTCGGACCTTTCATATTGCAATCATATTGATAGTTATATACTTACAATTTTAACTGTTGATGTCACCGCGAACTACATTTTCGGCAATAGTAAGAATATTTCCTTGAATATCTAACGAATTTAATTTCTGCTTCGAGTTTTGTTCTACACAAAGAACATGATTTGTGACTTTTGACGTCAAGGTTAAAACTAGCGGCAAATCTATGTCCTGTGCTGCAAAAAACCTTGCTATGACAAGGTGTTTCGACAGTTAAAAAATTTTCATTTTAAAAATATGCACTTTTTAAAATACAAGTTGTACATGAAAAATACACTTTCAAAACAAACCAAATACTTCCATTTTGATAATTTTCGTGCTTAAAACTATCAAAGCTGGGAAATTTTTAATTTGAAAAAGCATGGTTTTTAATTATACAATTTTTGTTTTTTGTGTGTACCAACCGGTGAACACTCGTGTTTTTATTTCAGTTACCGTGGAGACGTTATTTGTGATTAGCCCCGGTCCCTTTCAAATTGTATAATTATTTATGTACGATCCTTATATTTGAAATGACGTTTCACATTCATCTAGTGATGGCCGATTTTCATTCGAATAATCGATTAATCGATTAACGAACCGAAAAGAAAAAATATGTGTAATCGGTTATAATATAACCGATTACACATATTTTTTCTTCATGCCAATATAAGCATTAACATCTTCAGAGGATCACCAGCGATCGTTTCAAACGTGTGGTGCACTCTCATTGGTGGAAAAATGGCAGCACAGCGAACAAAAAATAATCGATTAGTTGTTAATCGAGTAATTAAAAAATGGGGCATCTCTGATTTTGGTGTGATTGTTTTGATAAAAATGAGCGCAAAATTTCATCTCTACCGAGGGGGCAGAAAAACCACAAAATTACCTTGAATGCGGGGGGTTCTCATTGGATGATAGGGACCGTTAAAGAAGACACTAAAATAGAAAGTTTTTCTTCCGAAAGTTTCATCTTAGTATTCATCTTTGGTTGTACCTTATAGTTTAAGCTACGTGTGCTGAGCTTAATCAATTCCTCTGAACCAGTTCTATGTACGAAAGAATAAAATAATATTATTTCTCCATACCAATATCCCCAGATGAATCTTAAATAAAAAGCGCCAGCAAGTGTTACAACCGAACGAGCTGAAATTTTCAGAGAGAAGTTTTCTCTCTTAATGGCACAGATCTAGAGGTTGGCCTGTTAAAAAAAACTGATAAAAAATTTCCCCATATAAATGTGGGCCAGCCTATTCTATCAGTGTCGGAGAAAGCCGAGAGCGCCATCTTCATGTCACAATCTAGAACGATTCAGCAAAATGCCTGTTCACATCTCTATAAGGTGGAAAATGGAACAGAGCATCAGAAACGTCATTCGTAAATGTTTTGTTTTGCTTCCTCTCGTTCGCGTTTACTCGTTGATGGTGAAAGTGTTGTTTTGAAAACGTTCCAATCTCCCGCAATCAAGTTTTTTTTCGTAAATTTAAACAATCTTCCTCCTAAACTAGTAAAATTTTAGCTATCTCAGTTTGCAGCAGTGCCAAATGTTGGAAATCATTCACAATCACCGTTCGCTACGGCTAACCGAAGGGACGTTCAGTGATGGGAAACTTCAGGAATTCATCCGGAACCAGACGGTGAGTATTGCTTTGTTTGGATTCAGTCAATCGCAGTTCTACAACAAAATTATTTGATGTTTTTAGGGTCTACTTCCGTGCGAGTACTATCTGACCCACAATGGCAAGCGATTTGATCCGCAGCAAATCTCAACCACGGGAGTAGTTCCACTGCGCCTGGTGGAACGGCTACCGGGAGGTAAAGGTGGATTTGGTTCCATGCTGCGTGCCATCGGAGCGCAGATCGAAAAGACCACCAATCGGGAAGCCTGCCGGGATTTGAGCGGACGCCGGCTGCGGGACATCAACGAGGAAAAGCGTCTGAAGGCGTACCTGGACAAGCAGAAGGAAGCACCGGAAGACGAACGAGTCAAGCTGCAGAAGAAGATCGATAAGCTGTTGGCCAAGCCGAAGCACGTGTTTCACGATGAGGAATACAACCGGAGCAGGACCGATTTGACGCAGAACGTCGGGGAAGCGGTGCAGGAGGGTTTCCGGAAGGCGATCGAAGGGGAGGCCGGTGTCAAAAGGAAGGCCCAGGATGATGGGAAGAAAGGCAAAGGGGTGAAGAAGAAGGCCAAGGGAGCGCTGTGGCTGGGAAGCGATGATCTTGGCTCGTCGTCGGATAGCAGCGATACGGATTCGGAAGCGGACTCGGCGTGCTCGTCCGGTGGGGAGAAATCCAGTGAGGGCGCGTCATCTTCGACGACGTCGCCGTCGTCGTCTGTATCAGCAAAGCAGATGGTGACGTCCGAGGACGAGGCGAGTAATCAGGATAAAGGAAAGAGTGTAGAGAAGGCAACTTCACCGGAATAAAGTTGGTTTTGAACTGAGGATAGGTATTTACCCTTATCACTATCGATGACTGCCTTGAGTGGGTACTAAATGGTTGGTAATCCCTTCATCGTTGAACCATGTGATAGATACATGACCACTGATAAGCGCCAATCAAACCATTTAGTCGGAGCGATCCAATTTTAGAACACAATGACCAAGCAGCTCAGTTCTACTCTTGACGATAGTCGGGAGTGTAATGATAATAAGCGCCGTGGTTCAGCCACTTGCTGCGACTGCGAGTGCAAGCCGGTGTGATTTTGCACACGGCCCCAAGAAATGAGGAACCTTGTCGCATTGCCCACGGCACGGTAATGGTGTGACAAACAATCGCTCCCGAACGCATCTTATCCTTATCAAATCGAGTCGCATATGTGGCCCGCTCGGGGGTCGTCGTCTTGGAAAGAAATGCCACCTCTCGGCGCGAATATATCTTATGCACTTATTGAGTATCGAGTTTGCTCGCTTTTACCTATTTATTGACAAGTGATAAGACATATATCCAGGCAGACCCAATTGGGCGAATATCGAATCCATTGCCAGCGTGGAATATTTGGACAATACTGATAAGGCGAAGCCCTTTTTTCCCTCGATAGAAACAAGAAGAAAGTCGCTGTCTTCAATGGCCTTATCAATTATCTTCGATTGGCTCAATTCAGATACAGGTGTGCTTACCGAAGTCCAACGACGACGACGACGACGATGGGACTTATCAATTGTATAAAACCATGCAGCAATCGAAATCCGTAGTCCAGTTAGTCGATCGTTAGTTAGCCCTTCGGTAGGCTTGGTGCGTTTTGTGTGTGTGGTGATAGAAGCAGCAGCAGCAGAATCAAAATGGATCACAACCATAACCATGGTGGAATGGATGATATGGAGATGCTCTGCCCGATGCAGATGTCCGTACGTGTTGCTCGAATTGGAATCCCAGTTTGCTCAGAGCGATGATGTAACGTAATTTTTCGTCCCAATTAGTTCCATGGAGGCTCCTGCGAGATTATACTGTTCCCGTCGTGGGCCACCACCGAGACGGGCCAGTTTGTGGGCGCGTGGATTGGGTTCTTCCTGATGGCGCTGCTGTACGAGGGACTCAAGTTCTATCGGGAGATTCTGGCCCAGCAGGAGTCCAAGAGCTGCGCCCAGGGCGAGAAGAGGAGTATGAGGTGAGTGTTTGCATTAGGTATCATAACTATTGTCTGCAGCACTACTTGTTGTTTGCTGATTTCGCGACGCTAGTGAAGTGAGGCGCAAGATAAGATTGTGACTTTGTATTGGAGAGGTGTGGTGGTGCGATTGATTGAGTGAATGGAAGAAGGCGAATGTTCGGTTGTGACCCAATTTAGTGGACTGTTGCCGCAAGTTTGTAGAAGATAATTTGGATTGGTTGTTTGCCTATGCGGTGGTGTTACACATGTAGGACCAGAGAACAGCTTGTTGAGCTCAAGTGAGAGCGACGGTTATTGACCATGCGTCTCCATAAAGCGAGATATTGAGTCTGTTGAGTCAAACAAAGTCTTCGTAAAAGATGGTTTGGTTTCCCAAACCAAACAAGACCAGGAGAGACATGATGCAACCAAGACGGAACGACGTTTCGTTTCGACTTTCTCAATGAGGCTCCAGTGTGGTTGAATAAGTACCCTCCGGGAGGAACGTTTTTTAACCATAGTGATGAGGAATGGAATTTGAGATCAATCTGCTTTGCCTGCAATTGATCAGTGCCCTATGGAAAATATTATCCATGCTATTCAAATTGGCGTTGTGCCAAAATCAAACACATTAACCGCTTCTGCAAATCTAATCAATGATCTAGTTTATTTTTTTAATTTTACTACGTCTTCAGCTATGCTGCACAGATTGTGAATCACTTAAATAACTGTTAGTTGTCTTATTCTAGTTTTAAAACTATTTTTACTTATATCGAAGTCAAAAAGTTTGGCATCATTCGACAAATTAAACTCAAGTGGGTGGTTGTTGTCTAGCAGCCCAGAATAACGGACGTTGACGGGAGCGTCAATCGACATCGATGTTCGTAGGGAGGCTACCTGAGTCAATCATTCCAAGGTAATCTCCGTAGGGCGAATCGAACGAAGCAACGTTGCACTCTTTCAATTCGGCCAATTGACCACTTTGTCAAGCAGTTTTGGCTTGACTTTCTACCAGCGATTTCACAAAATTGGACCAACTAATTTCTATTGTTTTATGAAACGCACAAATTTTGGCTATTTTTCTCGAGGTTCTAGAAGAAAAAATCTCAAAATAATGTTTTATTTCAAAGTTCGAGTGGTAATAAATGTCATTTTAACTGCTCGAATGAAGTGGTTAATTTGGTTTTATACACTTCGAATAAATTAACAATATAGGTAGACTCTTCAATGCATACACTTCACGGAACTCAGATGCATTTAGGCGGATGAAATCAAATACGGCGAAAGCTTTCGAAGTAGACCAACAGGTGAGAAGGTACTATCGTATTTTGTTTATCATCGCGATTTGGAGTCACTACCTTCTTGTAAGTCGATAGTCCGGCTCGTTTTTTGGCTCGATGCACGGTTGTAGACGATACACCCAGCTTATTTGCGGCATCTCGGAGAGAGAGGTTAGGGTTTCGCTTGAAACTACCGGCAACTCTCTTTGTCGTCTCAGCGGCTTCCGGTTTTCGATTTCCCCCCGATCCAGACTTCCTGGCTGTCGACAAACGTTCCCCAAACACTTTAATTACATTTGTAACGGTTGATTTGGCAACTTTTAGCGATTTTGCCAACTTTGCGTGCGAGTAGCTCGGATTTTCGCGATGCGCGAGCAAAATTTTGATACGCTGCTCTTCTTGCTTGGACGGCATTTTGACAACTGAAGCCTGGTACGCAGCTGAAAAGAAAACGGAAAAGTAATTTTTGAGGAATATTCCCAAAGTAAATTTGACAGCTATAGGGAGGTGTCTTTTGCTAAATTTTGAGATCATAGGTACACAGAAAAACAAAACTACCCACCGCTTGGGTTTTTTAAACTCAAATTTGAGTTATTTGACCTCTGTCCGTTTCATTTCCTCTCGCTATTGTTGTCAAAAATAGAACGAAAGATTCGACTCAACCGTCTAGTTCCGTACAAGAAGCCAAAATTGAGTAATATGCGATATACCCAAATTTGAGTTAATTGAACTTAATTTTGGGTAGAAAAAATTGAAAATAACTTAGCGATGGGTAATTTTTTTTGCCGTGCTTAAATGCAAACTACTTTGAGCCGGTTTACCCAAATTTGGCTTATCGTACGGAACATGGGAGATGAGTGAAAAGAACTTAATTTTGGGTTGTTTTGAATTTCTGTGTAGGTGTCGTCTAATTTTAAAATCAACAATTCAGTGCCAACATTTCAAAGGGGCGTAATTGCATTTGTAAACAATGACTTTCGTTTTCGATTTCTCGCGAATGAAAGCTCACTTATGAAAATGAATGACAACAGCAGGTAGATAAATGTTTCCTGTCCCAGCTAGCATTGGTAATTTGAAGGGGTGGGCTTTTATTTGCGAGAAATCGACGGCTAAAGCCATTGTTTACAAAAGCAATTACGCCCCTTTGAAATGTTGGCACTGAATTATCAATTTTCATGTTGTTAAAATGCATCCAAAACATCATTTTTACAACAAACGTTAAAATTACCTAACGGAATAATTGGTCAGACCATTATTCCGCGAGGAAAATGAAATTGCATTCAGAATGCGCCACCTTCATATCGATCACGAAACTAATGTAATCGATCTTTCCTTTACCGATTTCTTTTGAACTGCGTACTGGGTCAAGAAATGCTAAAGGAAAGTAATTTCTTTAGCATTCCGTGTCCTATCCCGTAGCACGTAAAAACGTCATTACTTTTCAGCTGCGTACCAGGCTTGAAGAGTGAATTCCAAAATCAAAATAGGAGCAACATTCTACACACACACACCTTCAAAATGAGGGGTGTTCAGGTTTTTTAAATGCAAAATTGAAAGAAATACGTCGAGTTGATATTGACCAAATTTTGACCGTATAACCCTTTAGACCAACAGGTGAGAAGGTACTATTATCTTTTATAAACAAAACGTTGATTATTCTTTCCTCGCCAATCGAACGCAAATTTCCAACATCGTCGGATAGAGGAAACTTTCCCCAACCCAAACATGGTGTTAGTTAGCGTAGACGAGCCTTGAGTAACGAGAAAAGGGTTTCCGAAGTTTTGTTCGCAATAGCTGATGTGCTCTTTTCTGTTGTTGGCCGCAGCTCAATTGGTTCCCGAGATTCTATCCGCCAGACTATGAATATAGCGACTATAGGCCATATGAGTTAAGTCGGGGGTTGAAGTCGGTAACGAAAAGAATACAAATCAAGGGCCCGAGGTGGCTGCCCTGCGGCACGCCAGATGGTGTTGCACAACGATTTGACTCGGCGGATCTCAGTTCAACGTAGGCGGATCTTTCTTGTAGGTATGACCGTAACCACCTTACTAGCCAGTTAGGAAATCCCAACCTTTCGAGCTTTCTCAGAGTTAATTCATGAGGCACTTTATCAAACGCTTTGGAAAAGTCCACGTAAATTTTGTCAATTCAGAGAAAAATTAGCATTTGGCGTCAGATGTGACAACCGAAATTGACAATCGTCACTGACAGCCAATGCCAATGAAACTTTGAAGCACTAAACCAAAACTATTCGCAGAAGGCTATGTCCTCATAACAACGCGAAAAGCATCACAAAACATCAATAAAACTGATGAAAGTTTGGATTAAAAATCGAAGAAAAATTAAGTTTGTGTGTGAATTTATTGCGTTACAGGTGTGCGTGCCATCCCCGATTTGCATCATTTACATACACAGAAAAAAAGTTGTTGAATATTACATCCAAACAGCTGCACAGAGGTCATTCCGCCGGTTGTATAATATTACGGTGTACGATGTACATCGATTTTGCGAACAAAATTACATCCATTGATGTTATATTGTATCTGCTTTTTGCTATTACATAATTATTTCATACATTAGCTTGAATTACGTTGATCGATATTACATTTTTTTTTGCTGTGTAGAAGAAAATTGTTCAACCTACCAATCATGCCTAAAAATATACCGGAAGTTCATCCTGTATTCTAGCCTGCAATCTAGTTAAATTAGGCAAACCGGACAAGTTTATACCAGGGGACTGGCAACCCCATATCAATCCTATACGTTTGACAGTAGGGAAGATCACGGGTCCTATTTAAATACGGCCCGCTTGACGTATACATGAAGGAAAGGGACGCAAAATTGTGTTGTAAGCAGAACGACAAGAGCAGATGAAAGTATCAAAAACATGGCCGCCAGCCAGGCCCCTGGTTTATACAGCGATCTTTGAGCGATACAGCTATACTCAACACGATCAAAGCAGGTCAACGGAAAACAGTTCATTTTGTCCTTAAACCTGGTACGCAGCTGAAAAGAAAACGGAAAAGTAATTTTTGAGCATTTTTCCCGAAAGAAAATTTGACAGCTATAGCAACAATCAATACGAAACTAACGATTTTAAATTGGCTCACCACTTTAGTAGCCTATTGGTCCCAAGCAAACGATTAACGTACCCTATTCTAGTTGAAATTCTATTACTACACTATGTTTGTTTTGATTCGCTATGAAAGTTTGACAGATAACATCAGGGGTGTGTGGATTCATGCAGAACATGCAGGGGTGAGTGAAATAGCTTGGGACTGCTTGGGACCGTTGTTCTGGTACTGAGTGAGCCAAAAATAATAATGATTTTCTTCGGGACCCAGTGGTCTTAGAGTTACCTCTATGGCTATAGTCTGCTAAATTTTGAGATTATAGGGAGATGTGGTCAAATTGTAAAATCAACACTTATTAGTGTTTATGTTGTTTAAATGCATCCAAAACATCAGTTTTGCAATAAACGCCAACATTACCTAACGGAATAATTGATCAGACCATTATTCCGCAAGGAAAGTGAAATTGCATTCAGAATGCGCCACCTTCACGTCGATCACGATACTAATGTAATCGATCTTTCCTTTACCGATTTCTTTTGAACTGCGTACTGGGTCAAGAAATGCTAAAGGAAAATAATTTCTTTAGCATTCCGTGTCCTATCCCGTAGCACGTAAAAACGTCATTACTTTTCAGCTGCGTACCAGGCTTTAACGGGCAATAAATGATATTTTTGCTCCCAAACTATCAACATATATTTCTGAGTAAAATGCCTGACATTCGGGACGAACCTACACTGTAACAAACCACCGTCCCCTGTTCGAATGAAACCTCAGACCATTCAAATCGAAACATCGAAATCCAATTTTCGAAGGATAGCTGGAACCGGATGACGGTTGTTTTGAAATCAGATGATTTTCCTCTCGAATACAGGATGAACATTGTTCTGAAAAAGGATAGGGCACAGGAGTGGAACTTCAAATCAGAAAGTGGCTCCACTGGTCATTTGCGAACACTAGCGCACCTAGCGGTAGAAGGCATCTTCGGCCTGCAGTTAAGATAGGCAGCATGCTATGATAGTGTGAGTGCACATAGAAAGCCTATGTGGAACGCTACCACATCACATTGCTCGTTGAGCAGAAAAACGAGCACTTTTTGATACACCGATTTGTTTGCACTTCCCCTTCTGTTCTGTGGATAGGGCCTTCAGTTGGAATGCGCAATGCTCTCTGCAGAATGATAGTCATCTTAAATTGAAACTCATTTGGTATTGGCTCAGCCCCTTAACGCAAATCATTCAAAACGATGATGTAAATAATTCTGTCGAAGGTCATTTGCTGCTCTGAGTAGACAAACGAGGTGGAAGCATAGCCATCGCTATCAGAGGTGTTACGAACATTTGTAAAGCGTGGAAACCGTAAATTGTTTATTTCATGGTGCAGGATGTTTCCTCTATCAACACTACATTTTTGTATCCATGATGAATGGCTATTCAATATGGAAATGTAAACAATCAAATTAATAATCTAATCTAAAGCATTTGCAAGTCATCCTATCATTAAATTGTTGCCCTCTGAGCCCAGTATGTTTTACAGCTAATTTTCAAATAAATATTATCCTTTATTTGGAGGACAGTCATATGGATGCTCATCAGTTGATGACAAATTCAACCATAAAGAAATCATCCGAAATTCGACAGCATATTGTTAAAGGGCTCGAGCAATACAATAATCAGTCGAAGTATTGGAAGATTGCCGTAAAAGCTCAACGCAGATGTCTCCACTGCATGATGATGATAATGTTGACAGACTGCATATAAAATTCGTGAAAATTAGCGTTTAATCATAATTTTCATCAAGCCTGTGTAAAATCCTTCCAATATAACATTCGAATTGAAAAAGAAAACGTTTTTACGATCAGACTGATGTGCATCTTTGACTTTTCCAATTGAACTTTCATAAGATATATTCATTTCATTTCGCGGCTCCATCAATGCTGCATCATAAATATGATGGTAAACAAAAGTAAATTGCTCAATTACTCAAAATAAAGATGATTTGTCATCTTGTTATCACTTTGAAGACCATCTAGCACCATTTTATAGTATGGTGCGTGTTGAGTAAATCAAGCTCCGTTGCGTTTTCCGTCAAAAATTGTGAGTATCAATATGTTTGCTTAAAAAAGGCCAAAATGAGCATTTATTGAATATTGGCGTCCTATACAACCAATTCTGTATTACCACCAGCATGATACAACCTTTCCTAAGTAAATTCACTTAATTTCCACTTTCATCTTAGTGAAAATCGCACATATTAACCATTTTCTGAAAAATGCAGCTGCGCAGGAGGTAACCTCTCCCTGTGGGTGCAAACTTGTTATGCATAATTTGCCATGAAAACATCTCTGATCCATACCAAAATAATAACAAATAGTTTTTAAACACGTTTTCTTACACGATTCAAGCAAAAGTTTTCACTTAGTTTTTCTTTATGGACCGATTTGCCCCAAAAAGCGTCTGTTTTGCTTGGAAAATTTGGAAACTATCCTCCTTCTAGTAGTTCTCACTTCGAAGTGTAGGTGGCGAAAGCTTGGAAAAGTTTCACTGCAAGACGCCAATAGGAGATCAAAAGCAAAACAAAATGCATTGTGATGACACCTACGTTCCGGTTCAGTAACTAAAAACGTGATGATAATTTTGTTTTTATTGAATGTAGGTAATACGGAACTACTGAAAAATACTTGTTAATCACTGCGAATTCCACGGGTTTCTATAATGAAACGAGGTGAAAATGGTAAAAAACATATCAACTACTATATCCAACACATTTTATATGTATTTTGAAGAATAGTCTGATCAAAAATTGAGATCCAGTTTTCAAATTTGCAATTGATTGAGGTTAAAATCTATGCGTACTCAACGTAGCAATACGCAAGCGATACAAATCTAAACAGATTGAAAACATCTTTAAAGTGAATGTGTTCCAGCTGCTGAAGATCATGATGTCGATATAACCAAAGTTGATATCTTGGACTACGTCCGAGAAGGGTTCACCGTTCTTAACGTCAATGATGTAATTTTCCTGGGATACTGGAAATATGTTGCGAGTAGTATTCAAATTACCGGATACGTAGCCCAAAGCTCCACTCCGGGCCAAGTTTCACACAAACTTGAACTGATCTTGCATGCCTCGATATCGATTTTTCTCTAACTCCAAAAGCCATTTTCCACTTCCGCAGCAATTTCTCACTGGACGGGAAGTTGTGCGGATTACCTTTTCGTTTTTTTTTGTCTTGCATTCTAAGACACTACATACTTTCGGATCTTTAATATGGGGATATTAAAATACATACTGTTTTAATTTCATACAGGTGTCTGTAATCACAGAGTTGAGTTAATATCGTGCTCTATGACAAAAAAGTAGGTAACAATTTTTTTTATTCGCTTTCCGGAAAACACTAGTTTCATGTTTGCGTTGACTATTCAATTATCGGAACTAAGGCCAGTTATTCGTTTTTTCCCTTCTGAACGTGATAAACTTTACGGTTTTACAGTATTTTGCGGGAAATTTAGAAATTAAAATTTAATATTTACATTCAACCAAAGAATTTGACAGATGGAAGCAGAAGTATCATCACAAGGACGAAAGCGCCGCCTACACTGTACACAAACATCATCCTCTGATCGAATGAAACCTCAGACCATTCAAAACAAAACACCGAAATCGCTTTTTCGAATGATATCTGCAACCGGATGACGGTTGTTTTGAAATCAGATGATTTTCCTCTCGAATACAGGATGAAACTTGTTATGAGAAGGGATAGGGCCTTCAGTTGAAATGCGTAATGCTCTCTGCAGAATGACTGTCATCTAAAAGGAAATGCATATGGTATTGGTTCAGCCCCATAACGCAAATCATTCATAACGATGATGTAAATTCTATCGAACGTCATTTGCTGATCTGAGCTGACAAACGAGGTGGAAGCATATGCATCGCTATCAGAGCTGTTACGAACGAATAGGTAAAGGATGAAAACCAATGTTTGATAATTCGTGGTGAAGGAGGTTCTTTCCACCACGAAATTTTTTTGTATGCATAATGGAATGGCTTATAATGGCTATTCAGTATGGAATTGTAGATTATCAAATTATAAATCTAATTAAAAGCACTTGCATGTCACACTATTCTTAAATGTTTGTCCTCTGAGTGCCGTATGTTTTATAGCTAATTTTCAAACGAAAATCATCCTGTATTTGGATGACAATCATATGGATGTTCATCATCTGACGACGAGTTCAACCATAAGAATATCATCCGAAATTCGAAAACATATTGTTAAAGGGCTCGAGCAATGCAATAATCATTCGAAGTATTGCGGATGTTTTGGTTCAGTGTACATGTCGGTGCCAGCTTTTGAACGCGAATTGCGGATGTTTTCGTTCAGTGTAGGGGTAAGACAACTGTACTCAGAGTTAATATATTTGCAGTGAGTAAATTTGAGTTACTCAATATTTACTCAAAAACAAACAAAGTAGTCTAATATTTTTCATAAAATAATGTTCAAACAATCCCCGTCTGACAGAATGTTTTGATTTCAAGATTTAGTTTTCATTCATTAAAAGATCCAAGTTATGTCGTTTTCGTTTTTACTACACTACACCGGTGTAGTGTAAGCAGCAATAAGCATGAGTCACTGACAGTTCATCATCATTTGTTTGTAAACAAAGGTGCAACCGATAGCTACACCCTAAAATTTTTCGGTGTTCGGCGGTGTAGCACCGGTGTAGCTACACCGCAAAAACGAAAACGACATTACACTCAAAAAATATTAAAATCTAAATAGTATAAAAGCTACGCTAAATCGCAACTCTCCTGACCGACGCATAGCTCGGTATAAAAGGAGAAAATGCAAACTTAGTATAAAAGTCCTGTATAAGGACGCGAGTGTAAATTCATGTTATGCTTACTTTGTATTGTTTGACTTTAAGCTTGGGTTGCATAGACTGGATATATCTGAAGGGTGATACTGATTGTTTGTTTTCTTTACTGTAATGAAAAAAAACATAGAAGCGCAACTAATTGGCAAATCAAAGTTGACACTTGTGGAGAATAGAAGAACTATGAAAGTGATGATGGTTTCAAAATTTTCCACGGCGAGGTATACGAATTCAATCTTAAAATGCCTTTATTTTGCAAATGGAGCATTTTATTTAAATCTGGTTAATGCTACGTTAGTAGAAAACTTAAGGACTACTCATTAGATAAATAATATAGAAAAAATAATTTCTTTTCAGATTTTAAGGTGTATGCATAGATTTCAGCTTTTCTACAACTGTAGCAACAACCAGATTTAAATACAATGCTCCATTTTCAAAATAAAAGCATTTTAAGGTTGCACTCGTATACCTCTCCGTGGAAAATTTTTAAAACCATCATCACTTTCATAGTTCGTCTATTCTCCACGAGTGCCAACTTTGATTTGCCAATTATTTTTATTTCTTGTGAAAATTACAAAAGATTTGCCTACTGGTTGATGCCATAGAGCGGCTGGGATTTGTTGTTCCTGGAGAAAGTCAATTTGCTCAACCCCGTCGCTGGAACATCTTTTAATTGGCCTTGGGAGGTTTTAGTTGAACTTCGATACAAAATGATGGCAGGTCACATTCATTCATCCAAATGCCCATCTCATTGGTGGAGTAGTTTTCGGTGTGGAACATGACATGGCTATGAGTTTCAACCGATCTTCTGCAGAAGAAAGTGGAACGCGTTGTACCACAGCAGCAGGAAGATGTTCTTGAATCCTTCTTTCTTTTGGCTATAGCACATTAGGTGTGAAGTGATGTCCTTCGATCGGAAGTGCA